AGTGAAAACTCATCAAGTGTAGTAGGAAAGCATTATTGGGAAAACAGAGATTTAAATTACCTCAGTTTCAAAGGTGAATAATATTGTTTTGTTTACCTTTTAAGTTTAGGTTTGGATTATAAAACATATTCCAAATAGATACCTATTAGTTATTATGATCAGGGCCTGCTGTGATGAAGGTTATCAACTAGAGTAATATCAAAATATACTGTGGATACAGTAGGCCTGTAATTAATATTAACATTGTATACTGCACAATACTTCTGTTTTTAATAACTAAAATAAAAAATATGTTCATGTTTTAGGTACATTTAACAATACTAATAAATTATTTTCCTATTAAAGATGCAGACATCAAAATCACCTTAGAATGGCTTTAAATTATTTAAAAATTAAAACATTTTTCATGATTTTAATTGACAAAAGACCATTTTCTTTCTTATTTTTACGTATAGTCTAATTTTTCATTCATTTAAAAAATTGTAATAAGTTTTCAAAATGCTCAGGACATGATATAATTTCTATATAAGAATAATGTATTTAAAATACTACCAAGTACAGCTCACTCAGAGTACTGTATAGGCCTACAATCTGCTCTATTTAATAAAAAAATTTTTTCGTTGTATCTTTCAGCAGCCAAGGGTGAAACTCCGAAGAAAGTTAAAAGCTAATTGTAACAATCAGACAAGCAAAGACATGGACATGGACAATTGCCGCTTAAATATTAGTAGAAAATTGCCATTTATATACTCTACGCCTGTAATGCAAAAGGTTCTTGAATATGGTTTTACATAATATAATAACTTTCATGGATCTTTAATATACATTAAAGACCAAAATACTGATTTAAACAGGACTTAAATGCGAAGGACTCTAGAATAAGCTTGAATTTGAGGTATGTGTGTTAGTAATATTTTTTGGAATACAAGACAAACCCTATGATGCATAGTTAATGTTTTTGTAATTAAAAATTATGGTTTGTATATCTTGAACTCAATGA